TCCGCTGGCCCGCCAGGTGGCGCTGCAGCCCCAGCGCTGGCGGCGGGAGCGGGGGGGGCCGGGGCTGGGCTGATCCCGGCCCCATCCCGGCCCCATCCCGGCCTGTACCCGCTCCCAGCCCCACTCCCAGCTCCCGCCAGCCCTGCTGAATGTACCCCCCGGGCCGCCTTATCCCAGGGCAGGCGGGTCGGCGGAGGGGAGAGCCCGTGGCCAGGCGCTGTGCCTCTTCCCTAAAGACTTTGAAAATCAGAGTTTTATACAGAACTATGAAATATCATCTATACATGCAATTTGTCTTAACAGAACAGCAGTCACGGGAATTGATCCAGCTGAACTGGGAGTTGGGTTAGGTGATCCTTCAGGTCCCCTCCAGCCCGAACCTTCCTGTGAATTGTGGTTGTTTCCCCCCGCTGTGTCACAAAGGTTTCCCCCAGGGCGGTTCTGCTGGTTGTTTCTCGGGGTCTAAGGGTCTGTGTTTCCTCTGTGGAGCAGGGCAGGGCTGGCTGGAGCACACACACTCCGTGCTGTCCCTTCAGACCCAGCTAACCCTCCCTTCCACTTGGGCAACGACTTGATTCCACCCGGCACAAGGTGTGGAGACAAACCCAGAAGTGCTTGTTTTCACCCCAAGCGTTGCTCTTTATAGCTTCAACGAGGATGTTTATGCAGGCTTTTTTGGGGGGCCACTGTTGTGGAGAGGCATCTGGGTGCGACAGGAGTCATCTGAGCCTTGGTAGTAGTTGTGTGTGTTTTGAGGTGGAGGGACAGCTCCAGATCAGCTCCGTAATGCTGGGAAAAAATAAACATCATGCACTTGAAATTCCTAGATTCCTCTGTTGAGTTGGTAATGTTTGTTACTGCTGCCTTCAGCTCTGCTCTGTGGTGATTCGTTCATTTGGTTTTTATTTCTCCAAACGGATAGTGGAAGAGCATGCAGGTGTTGAAAGGAATGAACACCAGAGTGCAAAGGCCAGGTCCTTCTTATGGTCATCATCATCATGACATTGATAAGGCGCCGTGCGAGTCAATGCGTGGAGCTGTGTCCATCAGGTTGAAGTGCAACCCCTGGTGAGAGAGGGGCTGTGTACATTTGGCAATGTCATCAAACCCCCAAGGGTTCACGCTTGTATCCAAATACAGTAAAGCCAGTTGCAAATGCTGTTTATATTTTAATTAAACTGCAGAAAGGCAAGAGAATTTCAACATAACTATAGGCAGTAACCTCACCCACGAATGGTGGGGAAATCTATTTATTCAGTGGAAATACATTTGTTCAATGAGAATGGAAAACATTTTTATTTTTTTTTATTAAAAGAGATCATTTTTGGCTTACGTTGAGTTATTTTTCTTTACTTGTGTAGGAAACTTCCTTGTGTACTGGAATCGTTTGGGGATGATTCACCCTGGAAGTGGTGACAGTACTTAGCTGTGATATCTGATGTGTGTTATGATGATTTCTGTTTTGCTATTTCATTGTGCTGAGCTGAGGCTGAGTGGGTGGCAGCATAACTTTCCACTGCAGGAAACAAAAGTGGATCTATCATTTCTGATCTGTGACGGGCAAACTCTTCTCCTGCTTCAATCTGGGTTACTCCTAATTAATAGGGAGTATTAATGATAATTATATCATTATCAGCAGTATTATTGGTAGCATTAATGGTCTTGGGAAGGAATCCAATAAAGTCAAATGATCTGCATTTATGTTAGAGCTGTT